GCGACCCACGGCGACCCCGCGGGCCTCAGCGGTGACCGACTGTTCACGGGTCGTGGAGAGCCGCGACTGGCTCTGACCGACTCTGGGCTGCCGCGGCTGACCCGGCGCTGACCCGGCGCTGACCCGGCGCTGACCCGGGCCGACCGGGCTGACCCGGGCTGACCCGGGGCCGGCCCGAGCTGACCCAGGGCCGACCCGGGCTGACCCAGGGCCGACCCGGGCTGACCGGGCAGGGTCGCCGGGTCGGGCCGTGCGCCTCGGTCGTGCCCCGCTCCACCTCACTCCCGTCCCGGTCGGCCGGCCGACAATGGTGGCGGCCGCGGCCGGCGCTGACAGTTCATCATTTAGCACGGTGTCGTGTCGGCCGTCAGCGGCACATTGAGCGGCCGCTGCGTGAAATCACTGCATTGTGCCGGCGCGGCCGGGACGCCGCTCCCTCCCTCTGGCTGCCCCTCTGCCGGCGCCGGCTGCCTTTGTGCAGCGGCCGGCGCGGCCGTGGCCGGTCGCTCGCTCCGCCCTGCCGTTCCGCCCGGCCGCGTGCGCCGCTGCCTTTACAGCGCAATTCGCCTCGGCCGCGCCACAATGGGCGCAGTGCGTCCGACGCCATTTTGTTGGCTGTTGTCGCCATGTTTGCTGCTCGGGATGGGCCAGATTACAAACTTTCCGCCCGATCGGCCGCGGGGCTGACCGGCGGACCGGGATCTGACCCGGGCCGGGCCGACCGGCCGGCCGGCGCACACCTGACGGTCCGCCCGTCCGGGCCCTCCCGGCCCGTCCTGGAGCGGTGTGCCCCTGTCACCGCCGGCCGTCCATCATCGGCGGCCAATTTGTGCGCGCAGCCGGCGAGTAATTGTCGGCGCGGCGGTGACAGGTCGCGGGGCCGCGGCCGTGTCGCCGCGGACCGCCCGCCGGGCCGGCGCGCCCGTCCGCGCCCCGCCCGCTCCCGGTCCGCCTCCTCAGGTAGCCGAGGAATCCACCACTATTCATGCGCACCTGGCTGGAAGTAATGGCGCAATTATCGCTTCCGCGGCCGCCCCGCCGCGCCGCCCGCCGTCCTGCCGTCCCGCCGGCCGGCCGGTCCGGCGCGATGCTGTGCCGCCGCCGCGGCCGCCCCGGGCGGCGGTGGCGGCGGCGGCGGCGGCGCGCCGGGCGGCGGCCGCCATTCTCCGGCAGTGACTTGGTGGCGGCGGACGTCCACGCTGTGCAGTGGGCCGCGGTATGAGTCCGAACCGGCTGGGCGTGCAGGCAGAGCTGGGACCGTGCGAGCTGGCGTTCGCAGACGTCAAGAGGGAGACCGGCTACCGGGGCGTCGGCAGGTGAGAGGCGGAGAGGGGTCGGCAGAGCAGCGCGGCTCGGGCGCAGCGGGAACGGGCCGCCGACGCGGGTCGGCCGGCCGCCGGCGGCTTTCTCGGCCCCGGCGGCTGGGGCCGCACCGGGCCGGCCGGCCGACTGCTTAAAATGGACAACGCTGGATTTTGAATTGATATGGGCTGACGAACTGTTGTCACCTGTGGTCATTTTCTATTTGTTTTCCTCTAAGCATTTGTACCTGGTGGCTCATTGATCAGCGTTTCATTGAAAAGGTGCATTGTTCCGTTCGAAAACGTGCTTAGCACTTTGGTTGCAGTTTCAATGACTAATTTACAATGGTATTAATCCGTTAGTCATTATATTTTACCAGCTTTGCCACAACTGTGGTATGCCTACAGTCATTCATAAATGCTACCGGTCAACCATGTCGTTTCGGGACATTCATTATCCATACCTATTGCTGAATTTATGATAGACATAGTATGACGACACGGTAATTGTGTTCTTGATTGCTACGGTACATGTAGGTATCGACAGTAGGATGTAACTAGTACTGTGATCCATTGTAATTATCGGTATTCACTGTCTTCTATGCTGCCGGCATTTGGTGCCGTTCCCTTGTCAGACATGCATTATAACATCTTTGTTATTAACAAAGGCAACAGTCGTGGATAGGTATGCTCGAATGGTGAACTGATCAAATCAATTTCAATTACAATGATTTTGTGTGGATACGTTTGGTGGCCAAATATCCAAATCATAGCCGAGGCGTCGTGTCGATGTCAGCTTTGATGCAGTCGGTACCTACAAACTACCGTAGATGAAATGGAACGAAGCTGGCTTTCGGTGCTACAGTACATATTGTCATTTTCCGATGATAACCTACACGTATCATAAGGAGCGTGTTTTGGGCACTCATATACCAACTTCAAATCTTATTTTCGGCCTTCCTGTATGGATAAAACTATAACAGTGTGCTCTATCACTGAATACTGATCGTTTTTCTTCTAATCTAACCACAAACCCCCATGGGGGAAAACACTATCCACTGAAGTAATTGCTGTCAGCTCAATTTGTCTATAGTTGCATGTCTTTTCTCGTAAGTCGTTTTGGCGGCCGCTCCGGGCCGTGTACTGCGTGGGTGTTGACTCGTTACAGCTGTGTGTATAGGTGTGTAGTGTGTAGGTACAGTGTAGGTGCACGGACCGGGAGGTGTGTAGGTTCGCCGGCCGGGCGTGGTGCACGCTCCGTCCGTGGGTTCCCAGGCGGCCGCGGTGCACTGTGCAGCAGCGGCAGGGTGATTGGCCGCGCCCCAATCGGCCCCGATCGCAGGAACCACCGGTTTGCTGTGGGCGGCAGTGCACACGGCACTCACGGCGCTGTGCGCACGGTGCGCGGTCCATGCGGGGTCGATCCGGGCCGGGCTGTGCAGGAGCGACCGGCGGCCGCTCGGTGCTCCCGGCCGGCCCGTGAGCCGACAAACACTGCCGCCGTGATCGGAGCGAGGTCGGACTGCGCGGCCCGGCCCGTTTCCTGTCGACAACTGACTGACAGTCCCCGATTAGATGGCATCGCTCGATTACAGCGCCGATTGCATGACATATGAACGCCATTATCATCGCAATGGATCTTATCGTGGCCGGCAATAAAAACACCGGCCGACAAAAGTGTCAGAATCCCTCTATCACGGCACATCGGGCCTGCACGTCACCCAGCCAGCGGCGGGCCGCGTTTCTTTGGCCGCAGACGGGTGGAATGCTGCTGCGCCGCGGCGGTCACATGCCGGCCCGGCCCGCCGGTCGTGTTTCCGCTGTCGGCGGCTGTGTCGCCGAGACGGCACGTGGCGTGTATCCGCTTATTGCCGCGACAAAAACACAACAAATGAGTGGCGCTGCCGTGTTGAGCGTGGGCCGGAGCGGCGGCGCCGCTGGCCGCGTGACGCCGGCCGTGTTTGTAGCCGGTCCTGCAGTCGGGGCCCGCGAGCCGAGCCATTGTGTCCCCGTCGCGTCCTGCGGCTGACCCGCCGGCCGCCACCGGCGCCGCCGGTCGTCGAGCCAGTGTACTCGGGTGCCGACCTCGCCGACGGCTGCCGGTGCTCGGGGCAGCCGATAATGCCGACTTCAGCAGCCGACACCGTCCGATTTCTGCGCTCCGTGTGCCATTTTCACCTCGACTATCTCGGTGTAACCGGGCCTTTCGACAGGCTACCAGAGCCACCAGTCCTGGCTGGCTGTGATCGCGCTTCTGCTTAAAAACTCCATTTAAAAGCCAATTGGCATCGCGGAACTGCGCTCACCGGACACATGAGTGTTTATTATATACGGACACAGATGAGTGCTTATTATATATGCTGTCCTGGCTGGGGGACGGTACAAAACTTCTAACACATCCCTGAGCTGCAAACACGTATTATGTTTAATTGTTTAGTTAAGAAATGAATGGTTTATTCGCATAAACATATTGACAGTAATCAAGAAGTTCTAATTCAGTGTGTGTCTACTGTCTAGGTTTTCGCCTATGTATTGCGGTTAACCGGCTAGCTTTGATCGCTAGTGGCGAGTGCAGCCATGAGCGTTTATAACATTGCAACCCACTCATTGCACCTTCTTCCCATTTGAATGGCTCCGGCCGAAGGAAGAGGACGGAATGGCCTCCTTTCCGGGTCGGTGGCGGGCAGAGGACTGCCGCCGAGCCGGCCCCGCCGCCGATCCGCGGCCGATCTGCCGCTGCAGCTCCGCCGTTAATTGGCGGCACCGCCGGCCGGTCGGCGCGCGGTCCTTGTTAGTCGCCGGGCCGGGCCGCCCCGGCATGCCGGCCGCTGGCCAAAAATGACACCTGCAAATCACAGTCGGGTGCCTGGCTGGCCGGTCACGCCATCGGTGCCGTATCGCGTCCGAATCGCAGTCACAGCGCGCCTCATCGCAGGCAAATCGGAGCCACATCGTAGTCAAATCGGATCCACATCAGTGGTAAATATCGGTGAAATAAGGCGGTGCAGTGCCGTCGGGCAGACGTAGCCGATCGGCGGCTTTCCTGCTCGGGACATCAGCCGTTACCAGTCTGCTGTTTGGCACGTCATCCGTCCGTCATTCATCCGTAATCCGTCCGTCATTCATCCGTAATCCGTCTGTCATCTCCATAAGTACTGCGTCCGATTTCCGTCACCTCCCCACCTACAGAAATCTCTGCAGCTGGCGGCTCCGTCCTGCCCCAGCGACCGGGCGTGTCCCGCCCCACGGCGCAGTCGAGCGTTCTCTGCTCGCCGGGGCCGCTAAACTCGCGTGCACACTCGATAATCATGTGCCTGACCAATGGGCGTTCATTGTCGTGTTAGCGCCGAGTGATGCACTACCAAAACACACGTGTGGCGTTGCATACAGTTAATATTCGTATGCTCGTTACGAGTGTGTGCCGTCCAGTTTGTGCGCTGAGGTCATTGGGCTGTCGTTAGCTGTGTGCTGTCTGTCTGTCTTATTCTTGTTTCCCTTTCTTGTTAACTATTTGCCTTTTATGATATCTAATGTGTGATCCCTTTCCCTACTTCGTTTATTTTTTCCCCTGTTTGTGAGCATGGTGATCATCATTTCTTAGCTCTCTGCCTGTCACCCGTTTGTCTATCTGCTTGTCACCCGTATGTTGCAATGGCGTCTGCTCTGTCTGACAGCTGCTCTATCTCTCTGTGCCGGCAGTGCGATGGCGTTTCCGCCGTTCGGTTCGGCGGCGCACGGCGTGGTCAACGGCGCGGCGGCCGGCATGCTGCCCGGCTACGCCGTCAGCCGGCCCTCCTACCCGGTCATGATGTCCGAGGCGTTCCCGCCGGGCGTGCCCTACGGCGCCGGTAAGTACCAGGTCCAGTACCCGCCGGCAGTGAGAGCGGGCAGCATGAGCCGATCAAACACACGACTCTGGTCAATTATAAACATGTGCGCAGATGTCCAATTCCATCAAACAATACTGAGACCCTTGACGACGCTTGAAAGTAACAACAGCGACAGCGCTCGAACATAAGCCGCCAGCTAAAGCTTACCATTTGCCTGCTCTCCCGGTACGGAGCACTGTCTAAGACGCGAATGGTCAGCAGCGGAAAGTCATCGGAACGCAATACAAGTTTGTATAGAGAAGCACCATCACGTACGGCCCTCATCTCACTGCGTGGTAACTGGTAGGTATTCTTCTTTCGACAAAATGCTATCTGTCACTCGGAAATCGGTCTGCTGGGGACCAGCCCCCCCCCCCCCCGTCAGGCCCGTCCGCTGAGCGTGCCGCGGCATCCCGTCGCCCGTCGCCGCTGTCCCATCAATTCCCCCGCCCCGCCGGCGGCCGGCCGACGCGGCCTTTTATCCCGCTCGGCGGCGCAGGTCGTTGCAGTGTTGTCATCTATGAAATTAATTTCTGATCAGCTTATATCATCCCCCGGGGCGGGCGGCCGCTCTGCGGGACCGGTCGGCCGGCGCATCTGCCCGGCTGCGGCGACTCCCATGTGACCCAATTTGGAATATGACGCCCGGATAATGCTTTGTCGCCACCCCTGGTAATTTGATTAGGTCCGATCTGGAGCCGCCACTGGGCGGGCCCGGCTGAAAGCGCTGGAGTGCGCGAGCGGCGGCCCGCGTGCCGCCTCAGCTGCTGACGCCGGTGCTGTCCGCCATTTGTACCACCCAATTAGGTGCCCAAGAGGGCGACAGTGATTGCGCGGCGCGCGCCGGCGCGGCGGCCGGCCGCGGGGATTTGTGCCGTCTGCTGCCGCGGCCTCCTCACCGGCGTCATTGTGACGGATTTCCTGGACTGCGCCAAATAATTGGCTCGTTAGACACGTGCTGCTGCATTATTTACCTGACTGGGATAATACGCGGCGGTTTTGCCGGTTTTCTGGTCGACTGGACGGTATTGGGTGGGCGTTTTTCCACGTCGCTGTCGCGGAGCGACTCACGCGACAGGAACTGGGCGGCCGCCCACAGCCGGGATTGGAGTGGGGCGTGAGGTACGCCGGTCCGGGCACGGCCTGGGCACTCCGGAGAATGGACGAGTCGTGGTCTCGAACTACATGTATTGCGATGGAGAAATTCGTGCTTCTGGCGTTCGACGACTTTCTGCTACTGGCTTGTAAACTGTAAAGGTTAAAGTCCCCTTGGCATTATCCTTTCTGGACACAAGCTACCTGGTTGAAGGCTGTATGTAGTGGATAGCATGCCAAACTAAGCTATAAACCTTTCCTGCAGCGTCTTTTCACTGTGCCGGTACTGTATCCAGCAGCCGTTGCAGCTGGGGGTCACAGGCCACGTCCTACCCCGCTGCGGTTTTCAGTCTGCGCTGTCACAGTCGCTCGTGGAACTCAGCACCTTTGTGCGGGGCCGGAGCGCTCCTATTGATTCCGCGCTGGGGAAGCGTATATACGAGCTGCGGCGGTGACCGGGCTGCCCGGCGGGCCGCGCTCGCCCGGTCCTCCCTCCGCTCCCCTCCGGGCACCCGCCGCCGGCAGGGCGGGTCGCTGACACCGAGCTGTCGCCGCCAGACACATGTCGACCGCCAGCGGTTTCAGACGACACCGGAAACCCTTCGCGGTCCCTGCGGCCGCTCAAATTCTAGCGGCCATCTGAACAGTTAAAGGTCGGCGACGTAGGCTTCAATTCGTTTTGTAATTTGTGTCAGCTATGCTTAAAATATTACTGGCGTTTATTGGCGGCATTTCTTATCCATGTTGTTTACCATTCCCGGACCATCTTCTTAAATATGTACGATGAAGTCAGCTGCGAGAAATCGATTCTATCAGGCCATCAGCGCGGGTCAAAACACGCAAATCGACAAGGCCGTCTGCTCTTACCCTAACGCCGTCTCAGCGGCGTTTGTGCTTACATAGTTATTCAGTAAGGCACAAGTCAGCTCTTTTTTAAGTGATTAAAACGAAAACAGAGAAAGGCTTGTAGGCACATGTCATCTTCACTTTTCGGCGAGTTTGCCTACTCTCTTCTAGCAGTCCAGTGTTGTATTTGTACGATGAACGCGTTTGGTTCCTTTGGACCACAGGGGATGAGCCACTGTCTCGGTCAGTTTGGCCGTAGGCTTCTGTCTGACTCTATCTCGATGTTGACTCTTAGTCACAGCGTGAATCACGAGAGTCGAACAGACGAGCAGACGGACCGAGTCTCAGTCAGCGTCCGACTCACCAGCAGACGGACCGAGTCTCAGTCAGCGTCCGACTCACCAGCAGACGGACCGAGTCTCAGTCAGCGTCCGACTCCCAGCAGACAGACCGAGTCTCAGTCAGCGTCCGACTCACCACAGCAGACCGACCGAGTCTCAGTCAGCGTCCGACTCAGCAGACCGACCGAGTCTCAGTCAGCGTCCGACTCACCAGCAGACCGACCGAGTCTCAGTCAGCGTCCGACTCACCGGCGACGGACCGAGTCTCAGTCAGCGTCCGACTCACCGGCAGACGGACCGAGTCTCAGTCAGCGTCCGACTCACCGGCAGACGGACCGAGTCTCAGTCAGCGTCCGACTCACCAGCAGACGGACCGAGTCTCAGTCAGCGTCCGACTCACCAGCAGACGGACCGAGTCTCAGTCAGCGTCCGACTCACCAGAGACGGACCGAGTCTCAGTCAGCGTCCGACTCGCCAGCAGACGGACCGAGTCTCAGTCAGCGTCCGACTCACCAGCACGACCGACGGACGCTCAGTCAGCGTCCGACTCACCAGCAGACAGACCGAGTCTCAGTCAGCGTCCGACTCACCAGCAGACGGACCGAGTCTCAGTCAGCGTCCGACTCACCCGCAGACGGACCGAGTCTCAGTCAGCGTCCGACTCACCAGCAGACCATCTCCTTCTGAGAAAACAATGCCGACAGACGGACCGATCCGACTCAGACAGCCCTCCAGCTCCTGGACGAGATGTCGCTGTGTCTCCCCAGCTCCCCCTGCCCTTCCGGCCGACCCGTGGCCCGACTCGGTCCCTGGACGAGATGTCGCTGTGTCTCCCCAGCTCCCCCTGCCCTTCCGGCCGACCCGGCCCGACTCAGCTCCTGGACGAGATGTCGCTGTGTCCCCAGCTCCCCCTGCCCTTCCGACCGACCCGGCCCGACTCGGTCCCTGGACGAGATGTCGCTGTGTCCCCTGAGCTCCCTGCCCTTCCGGCCGACCCGGCCCGACTCGGCTCCTGGACGAGATGTCGCTGTGTCCCCTGAGCTCCCTGCCCTTCCGGCCGACCCGGCCCGACTCGGTCCCTGGACGAGATGTCGCTGTGTCCCCTGAGCTCCCTGCCCTTCCGGCCGACCCATGACCCGACTCGGTCCCTGGACGAGATGTCGCTGTGTCTCCCCAGCTCCCCCTGCCCTTCCGGCCGACCCGACCCGACTCGGCTCCTGGACGAGATGTCGCTGTGTCCCCTGAGCTCCCTGCCCTTCCGGCCGACCCGGCCCGACTCGGTCCCTGGACGAGATGTCGCTGTGTCCCCTGAGCTCCCTGCCCTTCCGGCCGACCCGGTCCGACTCGGCCCGTCGGCCCTCCAGTCAATGCTGGGCTCGCTATGAATGCTCGCCGGTTTATTGTCGGCTATCGGAAGGCGATCTGCGGCCGGTGTCTCCGTCTCTGCTCACGGTGCACTGTGCAGTGTGCAGGGCCCGGCTCACTGTGCACGCTGGGCACGGCGCAGCTGTCCCCCCCCCCCCCCCCACCCCACCCACTCCCCTGGCGATCGGTCAGACATCTGGGCGTGGCACGCCGACCGGGACGGCCTCAACTGCAGACGGACAAACGGACAGACAAACAAACGGACAGACAGACAAACGGTTACAGATAACACCACGGCCAGTTATGTTTTACGTGTGTTGGTCAAACATGTTCCCTGATCACCAGTCGCTGATTCTCTATACGACCAGGTGTGCCACTGTGTCATCTCTCTGACACAGTGTGTCACAGTGTGTCACGGTGCTACTCTTTCTGACACTCTGCCACTGTGTCACCTCTCTGACACTGTGTGGCACCTCTCTGAGTCTCTGACACAGTGTGTCACAGTGCCTCACGGTGCCACTCTGTCTGACGCTGTGCCACTGTGTCATCTCTCTGACACAGTGTGTCTCTGCTGTACCACTGTGTCACCCTCTGACGCTGTGCCACTGTGTCATCTCTCTGACACAGTGTGTCTCTGCTGTACCACTGTATCACTCTCTGACGCTGTGTCACAGTGTCATCTCTCTGACACAGTGTGTCTCTGCTGTACCACTGTGTCACTCTCTGACGCTGTGCCACTGTGTCATCTCTCTGACACAGTGGTCTCTGCTGTACCACTGTGTCACCCTCTGACGCTGTGCCACTGTGTCATCTCTCTGACACAGTGTGTCTCTGCTGTACCACTGTGTCACCCTCTGACGCTGTGCCACTGTGTCATCTCTCTGGCACAGTGTGTCTCTGCTGTACCACTGTGTCACCCTCTGACGCTGTGCCACTGTGTCATCTCTCTGACACAGTGTGTCACCTCTCGGCAGGCGCCGGCGGTAACGGCCGGAAGCAGCGCCGCGAGCGGACCACCTTCACGCGCCAGCAGCTGGACATTCTGGAGGCGCTCTTCCAGAAAACGCGCTACCCGGACATCTTCATGAGGGAGGAGGTGGCCATCAAAATCAACCTGCCAGAGTCGCGCGTCCAGGTGGGTGCCTACTGCTGACGTCCAACTGACGTCCAGCTGACATGGGACAGGCGTGGGACAGGCGTGGTCGTGGGACAGGCGTGGGACGCTCTCCTGACCCTGACGCCGGCCACTGATGGCTCAGTGATTGGAGCAGTGGAAAAATGCCCCCAGATTGACACTTGCGCGCTTGTTAATTTGGAAAGCGATGGAACATTTGGAGAATTGCATGCTGATTTTTGTTCCGAATCTGTAAGAACTGCGGCCCTTGTGCAGAAGCCCCCGGTGTTGGCTGACCGGTGTTTGAAGCAGCCGGTCGGCGGTAACCGATCCGCTGTCACTGCGGCCGCTGTCTCGGTGACAGGGCGTCAGGTGACACACACAGCTGAGCGACGGCGTGTTTTCCTGCCCGACGCCGCCCTATGCACGGCACATCTGCAGCGGCTTGGTAAAAACGCCGCTGCTGCATTGTTGACCGCCGCGCCGCGCCGCGCTGCGGGGGAAGGGGGAGGGAGGGAGGGTCACCGCTGACCAGGTGTGCCGCCGGCAGTCGATGTGACGCACGCGCCGCCGCCGCCGCCACCCCCTGGATCGGACATAGACGGACAGGTGTGGCAGACGGGTTTTTAACCAGTCGATAGCGATATCGATGTGACAATCGGACACCACGAATAAATTAACAATGATTACTGTCAGCGGCGCTCAGCAGGATGACATGTCTTTTGGCTACAGGCTGCATTGTTCTAAGGCGTCATTGCACGGTGAGGGTTATGCCCATTTTTCACATATCTTAACACCTTCATAGTGAGTGTATATAGTGATTTATGAACACCCGCAATAGCCAATGATAATAAAGTTCACCATTGAGCTTTAGGTAGATAACTTGACTTTATCACACTTTAATAATATGTTTAACCCTCGCCCTGGCAGGGCATTTTTCATAACACGGCCTGGCAGGGGGGGGGGGGTCGATGCGACCCCCCCCCTCGCGATTGGCTCCTATGGCACCTAGAAACACCAAATTTGGTAGGTAGGTGGGCCCCCTGGAGTTCTCGCCCCTGTGCAAATTTGGTTGCTCTAGGTCAATATTAGGGGGGTTTTGGGGGGTATAAATGTAAAAATTTCGCTAAAAACAGGTCAAAAGTTTTTTCGCTTATAACTTTTGGTCTAATTAAGATAGAGAAAAAAGAAAAGCACCAGTGACCTCAGCACGTCAAGGCGCGTCGAATGATATACTTTTAAGCTTGCTTAACTGTACTTAAAGTTTTTCTTAAATTTTAAGTACACTTAAATTAATAAATTCAGTTCAAGTTAACCAAATTGCATCATATCGCATATCATTCGATTCGGCTGATCACCAGAAACACAATTGTACCCTTTTTTAAGCTCTAGCGTCATTATGTGCCAAGTTATTGGCAAAAACGTCATTTGACCTCAGTTGACCTCATTTTACCTGACCCATGGATAAGTACACCAAACAAAGAAGCACCAAGTGACCTGCTGTTAAGTACCGTGGTTTCAAAGCACAAAAGTGATAGAACAAAGCGGATATCTCCAGTATTTTCCGAATTTAGTATTTTCCCATAGGCTTAACATTACGACGTAATGACCTCTAACTGACCTCAGGTCAGTGACCTCAAAAAAGCCGGATTATATGTTATACAAATCGGTGAACTTAGCACATCCTGAAAGTTTGAAGGAAATCAGTCGAAAACTGTGAGTTGGACAGGTGCAAAAAGAAAATTGAAATTTGACCATGACCTTGTACCGGTTTTTCTGACCTGGTGACCTGACCCAAGGTCACCCGGACCTGAAATTTTCAAGTAATATGTAAAAAGGTTGCCCCATAGGCTGTGCCAAATTTGGCGGCGCTGCGAGCCGCCGTTTTTACGCTATCTTCGAAAAACCTTAGGGGGGGTCGCATCGACCCCCCCCCCCCTGCTAGGGCGAGGGTTAATCATCTTTTACATCTGTTATAAACGACACCACTAATTACCATAGGTAGGTACTTCAAATGAATTTAATGATAAAAACAATGCTATAACCAATATATGTCACGGAAGCTTTTGGCAACAGCGTTAGTGCCAGACCAGCCGTAGTACGGACCATGCCGATCGATGCCAAGCATAGGTAATTGATAGGTAAAGCAAAACACTTGCTGCCTTATCGTTTCATCAGTCCCAGCGAACTCTAAGTCTCGTCCACATCGCACAGTAGGAGCGGCGGACGGAGAGCGGTCCCTGGGCTCTCACACAGGGTAGGGTGGATGGCCCACCGGCCGGCCGGCGACATTGAGTCAGTGTGGGTCGGCCTCTGGAGCCGGCGGGTCTGCGGCGGCCGGCCCGCCGACGTGCCGGGACATACGGAGCCGCCGCTGGTCCGTCTGGGCAGGGGGGGGGGCGGCGCACAGTGACCGTGGTGGGGAGCGGGGGTGACTCGGCAGCCGCACACTGCCCGTCGTGGGCAGGGCTCGGCGGTACACATGGCATCGTGCGCGTGCCGGCCAAAGGCTAGTCGTGAGCCACCACTCTGGCCGGAGACTATTCCAGTCTCACCCAGCCGCCTATCGTTTGTTGTTTCCTGCTGACACCGCCCCCCCCCCCCCTCCTCGCTCCGCAGGTGTGGTTCAAGAATCGCCGAGCCAAGATTCGCCAGCAGGCCAAACAGACGACCAGCAACGGCGCCGGCGGCGGCGGCGGCGGCTCGGGCCCCGACGTCAAGCCCAAGGCCAAGCCGCGCACGCGCACGCCGCCCACCGCGTCGACTCCGACGCACGCGGCGGCGGTGACGCCGGTGACGACGGGCACGCCGTCGCCGCCGGTGGTGGGTCCGCGCGACTCGCCCTACTCGCCGCCGGTCTCGTGCTCGGCGCCGCCGGCCATCAGCTCGGCGTCCGCCGTGCCGCACCAGGTCAGTCTCCGGTGGGGAGATGGGGCGGGGAGGGACAGGGAGGGGTCGGACGGGCACCAGGTCAGTCCCCCGCGGGGAGATGGGGCGGGGAGGGACAGAGAGGGGGTAGGACGGGCACTATTAGGTCAGCCTCCGAGCCGTGGCCGGCCGGTCACCGCCGTCCTTGCGACCGGTGTATGAGGTCCAGCGCAGTCAGAAATAGCTCGCAGTTTGGGCGGAGGTGCGCCGCTCTGCGGTCGGAGACCGGCACCGCAGACGGACGGCCTGTCAGAGTGTGCGGCTGACGGCAGCCGAGCGCCGGGTGGTCGCCTCAGTCACAGGGGCCACAGACCTGGCCCGGCCGGCACCGCGCCAGACGCCCGACCAGCTCCTGGAAATTCCACCGCTCCGAAAACATCGGCCGTTAACGCCAACATAGTATGTAAAACCGGATAGCATCCGTTTCAATAATTTCAGTTAGAAAACTTCCAACGGTGTTTTCTGCCAAATTTTCAGCCCGCTCTAACGTGTCTCCCCCTCTCCCGCTGCGCAGAGTTACGGCGGCGGCTACAACAGCATCTGGAACCCGGCGGCGTCGCTGGCGCCCATGGGTGACCTGACCGGTCAGGCGGGCATGGAGCGCTCCTACCAGCCCAGCCAGCCGGCGGCCAACGCCTACTCGCAGTACGGCGCCTACTACGGCAACATGGAGTACCACCTCAACTCGCACGGCCAGATCAACCCGCAGGTAAGGCCGCCACTGCAGGCGCACTGTGCTGACGGCCAGCGGGCACCAGACGAGCTGGGACTATAGTGGGCTCAGCCTGGTCGGGAGGGATGTGTTCCAGTCGAAAGGGATGAGCGGTGGTGTGGAAGTCGTGTGACCCACCCGGGGCAGGATGGCAGGTCCGGGTGCCGTCCAGGGAAAGATGGTCTGGGACCAGCTTTTGACATTGACCAGGCTCGTTGATTGGGCTCGTTGATGGACCGGGATTAGGATTTTGAAGTCGCTTTCAGGGCGGGATGGGGGAGCCCATGGGTCAAGGGACTCAGCTGGGACTTCCTAGTGGAGACGTGCCGGGCCTCGAGACCCGACCCAAGCTGGCGAAGAGAAAGCTCCGGGACTCGGGGACTCGAAGCTCCGGGACTCGGGGAGCCCAAGAACACGGCCTCTGTTCCGATACGTCCGATGCTGCTGCTCGGCCGGCCACTGTGGCTGTTCGCCTGGCCGCTATGGCTATCCGGCCGATGCGGCTGTGCCACTGTGACTGCTCGCTCGGCCGATGTGGCTGTGCCCCGATAGATGCGGTCGTTAAGGCCCAGCCGATACGGCTATTGGGCTGGCCGGTGTAACTGTTCGCCCGGCCGGTGTGACTGCCCGCCCGGTCGGTCACGACTGTTGGTCTGGCCACTGTGACTGCTCGCTCGGCCGATGTGGCTGCCCGCCCGGTGTGGCTGTTGGACTGGCCACTGTGACTGCTCGCTAGGCCGATGTGGCTGCCCGCCCGGTCAGTCACGGCGCGTCGGTGGGTGTGTTGGCGCGGCCGTCCGTCCGTCCGTCCGTTCGTCGCGTGCTGGCTATCGGGCCTATATCGGCCTCTGAGATCGGTATCTTCCCGGGCTGCGGCTCGACGTTTTCCTCGTCCCACGCGGCCGATGTGTCAGCAGTGGACGGATCGGTGTCCGTCGTGCCGCACCGGGTGAGCCGCCTGTATGTCGGACCGTCCCGCTGGACGTCCGGCCGGGCGCAGAGAGCCGCCAGGCCGGACAGCCGGTGTTTGTGGCCGGCCACTGCTGGAAATACCGGCGGGACGGCAGACGCCGCCGAGCTGCGCGTGACCGGCCCGGATCTCTGGTCGACGCTGCGGTCTCCGCGGCGAAATTGAGCCACTCTGAGGGGAGATTTCTCGGAGGACCAGCTGCCCGGCTGACGGCGGGCGGACACAGAGTGGCCGCACCGTGCCACACCTGCCGACCCGGATCCGCCTGCGAGGACCCCGGCTCCTGACGGGGGCGCTGAGATGTCGGGCACGGCAGGGACTGAGCCGGACGGCCTGATTGGGACTCCGGCGTCTGTGGCAGCCCCAGTGCTGCCCCTGAGGTCCGACAGAGGTGCCGAGGAGGGCAGGGACTGAGCCGGACGGCTGAGGTGCGCCGGATGTCGGCAGCCTGTCTGCTCCAAAGCCCCCGGGAGGATGTGGGTGCTAGGTAGCTGGCTCACCGAGTTATGTAGGCTGGGCTCAGGATTTGGCGCATTCCCATGGTATTTCAGACACGATAAGGTTCTGGGACTCGCGTGTAGCGGTCGCTCTATGCGCCGCTGTGATATTAGTAGGTGATGTTACACCAGTGTGGCAGGCCGAGTGAACTGGTCGCAGCCGAGTCACCGCTGACGAATTGTCTGTTCTTGTTCCAGGTGAGCAGCCACCTGAACACCATGAGCCAATCGCAGCAGGGCGCCGGACCGGCGGCGCGACATGGCCTCGGCTCCGAGTTCGACTACCGCTACCAGAACTTTCAGGTGTTGTAGGGGCCTGGCGCACCGGTCCGCTGCCGGGCGGAGCTGGAGGGAGGCAGCGCGCGCCACCGCGCCGCCCCGGCCGACACGGACCTGCCCCAACGCCAGGAGAGCCACCGGCCTCCCAGCGCGTCAGCTGCTGAGGCGCGGCCATAGTGCCGAGCGGCCTGCCGAGAGCGGTGCCAGCGGACGGCCGCCACTGGCCGCCGCCAGCTCCACGTTGTGTTTCTACGTGCGCGAGTTAGCGGCCGCGCGCGCCGCGACGGCGCCGCACCGTCAGCGTTTCCTGTGATAGAGAGGACACCAGCTTACCTAGACTGTGCTTAGATGAGCGTAGCGCGCAGTCGTCACCAAAGACGCGAGGTCGGGGGGCGCGGACGGCCCGCCGGGGCCCGCCTCCCGTCGGCCACAGCCGGCCCTTGGTGTTCGTCAGCCCCAGAGGCGCGGCGCGCGAGCGGCCGATGCGTTTGATCTTCATAGATGTGACACGAGTGTGTATGTGTGTGTGCGCGCGACTGACCTGGTGTGACGCGGGTCGCCGGGGTCGCCGGGCGGGCCGCCAGCTGCAGCGGGGCCCGCGGGGTCGGACGGTCAAGCCGAGCCATGGGCGTGTGTGTGTGCTGGGGTGTGTATATAGCAGTGCGTCGGTCGGGGGCGCCAACGACGCCCGGTCAGCCCCGGCGGAGACGCTTGTTGTGGCGCCGAGCGATTGTAGGAAACTGTTGAATAAGTACAATTTGGGGACAGCAGTGCACGTATGTGAAACGAATAAAAACAGAATGTAACCGAGTCTGTATTGGCCGCTGGTATGAAGGAAGGGATATGAAGGAAGTGCGAATGAAGGAAGGTAGATGCGCCTTCAGATGACCTGCTGAAAGAATGGCGATGCTAACACTAAGAATTGCCAATAAATCCATTCATATCTGCCTATAGCATTATAGTAATCTTGCAATGCCACATTTGAGCATTGTCGATTAAATCACGATACTCACTATATGTAACCTTACGTTCATCTCATGAAGCCCAAGAAATAAGAATCTAATAAAAAGCACAAAGTGATAGGCATATGTCGGCATCGGTGCTTTCGTCACATTCACCGCCTTCAGCATCTTCTATGCAATGGTGTGATTCCGAAGCACGTGATTTGTGTTTGTTATGGTATTTCAAAACTTATGCATCTTAAAGTTACCGAAGTGTTAATAACTTATCTCGTTCCGTTTTCATTCGAAAACGCACTTCGCTCCGTCATTGAAGAGTGGATAATGAAAACGGACAGTCTCAAACTTCCGTTTCAAATAGTTAGGGAGTGCAAGCAGCTTGCAGTTGCAGTACTTAGAGCCAGTGGCGTAGCCAGAAATCAGCGAAAGGGGGGGGCCATGGTGCTCGAGGGGGCGACTTTTCCCTTGAGAGGGGCGCCATTGTGAGCTAGTGACAGGGGGTCAGTCTAAAATGTAACGTCATATATTCATGCATGATTTACTAGGTGTTGCAAAATACGAGTATAAGAACCAGGGCCTAATCTTACCAATGCCGTGAATAGGATTTGGCAGCACTGGTCGGAGTTAACGGCATTGATATCAAAGTTGTCCTTTCGATTTACATCCAGCTAATCTTGCCAATGATTTTGATGGCGTGAATGATAATAAATGTTGTCTGAGCGAATGAATAAGTGAATGTGGAATAGTTCTGAATGGTACCAAATGCCGTGAATGCGCATTCACAGCATTTGGTAAGATTGGGCCCTGGTTTCGCTGATTTTTCATAAAATCCAATTATTGCAATTTGCAGCCCGGTGTTTTTTATCAAAAGCCTTGATCTTTATGCATATTTAGCACGATATAGGAAACGAGCTCAGGCTACGGACATGCTATATCAAAACACACCCATGCGAATTCGAAACGGTAAAATATACGTTGATCGAAAGGCACATCCTTTATTCTTTGCAAAAAAAAAAAACATACAAGTTCACTCACTGATCCAAAGTGACCTGTGGACTGCAGCCTCTGGTCGACCGGGGTGGCCGTGCTTAGAATCTCAGACACTCATGACTGCATGAGTGCCAGATGGGTGAGGCGTGAGACTGTCCCATATAGTGGCACAAAGGTTAAGAATGTCTTCGGCCGGCGTAGGAAGACGACTTTTGATGATGAGTGTGCATGGTCGACTTTAATAAGCGCCATAGAAACATGCTGATCTCACCGAACATTCGCCTTGCGTAATCCTCAGACCAGATATCTACATTGAGATGGCCAGGTCAATTTTGCGACCTCTCTATTATCTATTATAGTTAACCCGCGCCGTGCTGGTGGCCTGTGCTTTCCGTGTCGTGCTGGGGGGGGGGGGGGCGTTTTCACGCGACCCACTCTAACTCGGCTCCTGGGCCACGTAGCGACACGCAGTAAGGGGAAATCGAAAGAGCGTCAAAAATAATGACGGGAAGACTTCGTTTCAATTTTTAGGTCAGGTCAAAGGTCAGGTTGCAGAGGTCATCAAAGTAAAGTTTAGTCCATTTTACAATTTTGGAAACTACCAATGGCTAACTCGGGATCCAATAGAGCTACAGCGCCGCGGAACGTGTTCTTCTCGTCGAGACGCGTCGAATGAAATATACGTTGACCTTGAAAGGTCATTTTGAAAATTTGACCGCACGTCAAGGTCATGACCTGACCGGAATGGGCCATGCTGCATATCAGTCGATCCGTATCGTCGAGCTGACCACATCTGACGCGTTTTCACCGCTCTAGCACGTCTCTATCAAAAGTTATAGCAAAAAAAACTGCTGATGACCGTTTATGACCTGAGATGACCTCAGTCCTCAAGGGCACACAAAAGGTTAACAGTGCATTTTTACGATTCAGTGTGTTATGTTTACCTATGAACCGATGTTTGGAGGGTTTTAAACGACATTCGTCCAAAAGAGGCGCATTTCACTTTTCTCCCACTGACTTGAGGTCCCAAAATTGACCTGACCTTAGGTCACAGAAATAAAAAGTCCGAGATGAGCATTTTATACATATTGTTAGTCTTATCAATCTCTGAAAGTTTCAAAAGTGATCGTTCAGTCGTTGTAGCTATAGCGGGCCTTTAAACTTTTTTTGAGGTAAGGCCACCTCACGTGCCCTGGTGACCTGACCTTGAACGACCCTGATCTGAAATTTTCACAAGCTGTGTAGAAAAGATGTATGAACAGGTGTACCAAAAACAGCGGCGCTGCGCGACGCCGTTTTTGAGATATTCGCGAAAAAAAAACCTAAGGGGGCGGAACCCCCCTCCAGCACGGCGCAGATTAATGGGAGACAATTGAAATGCTCTTCTTCTGAACGAAAACAACCTCAAACATCGGGATTCAGGTAAATATGACACATTTAATCGGTCAATGTCACTCGTGATGTGACCACTTTTATGTTACTGAGGTCATCTCAGGTCATGAAAGGTCTCCAGTAGATTTTGGACAATAACTTTTGATAGAGATAAGATAGACCAATGAAACACCCTATATAATTATTTTCCTTCTCGAAAATATGGATCGACTAATATGCAGTATGACCTTTCCCGGTTAGGTGATGACCTTTACCTTAGGTCAAATTCTCAAATGCCCTTTTAATGTCAAATTCTAGTTCATTTGACTCGTCTGTCTCGAAAAATGGAACACGATGCTGGATAAACTAATCTCGTGCAGGTCTGAGCCAAGAGGTATTACAGATAAACGTCCTCCGCGAAAAGTGTATTTTGAGGCTAAAACGTTTACCTAAGGTCAAATCTGAGATAATCAATAAGAGAGAGAGCATAAAGAGCTATCGAATATGCGCTTTGCTGCGGCACTGAAGCTCAATCTCTTTCTGAATCCTGACATGCGCCGCTTTGTCGAAAAATGTCAACATCGGCGAAATTTGATTTTCGGTTGTCGCTGGTGACCTGACCTTCGACCAGTTCGACCTAACCTTAAAAATGATCTAAGTAGGGCCGCCTGGCTGCTGCATCTTGAAAAGGGCCCTTGGTGTCGATGAGAAAGCCCCATTGTCCAATAATTGCCTAGCGTCAGTGGTTTCGGGGGGGGGGGGCCTATCAATCTTGAATGGGGCGGGGCGACCGAAGTCTCCATTCAGTTTCGCGTCAGTGACTACTGGAGTGCGTCAACGACCTCGGATAGGGCGAATGTGATCTTCAGAAGGGCACCGGGTGCTCTGGAGGGGTGCAATGCTTGGATGGGGTCACTGCTGCCTTCAGTAGGGCGTCGGACGCTCTGGAGGGACGCCATTGATCTCGGATGGTCCGACTGGGATTTTCAGAGGAGCATCAGTGGTTTCAGAAGGGCGCCATTGATCAAGGATGGGCCGACTGAAGTCCCGGTTCAGGTAGGCGCCAGTGGCTCTTGAGGGGCGCCAGAGACCTCGGATTGATGGGGCGACTGTGATCTTTAGAACGGCGTTGAGGAGCACCATTGGGCATGGATGGGGCCGCTGTTGCCTTCAGCAGGACGGCAGACGCTATAGAGGGGCGCCTTGAGCTTGGGTGGGCCGACTGTAGTCTCCAGGGGCGTTGTCTCGGATGGGGCGAATGTGATTTTCAGAGGGGTGCCGGGTAGTCTAGAAGGGCGCTATTGGTTTCAGAGGGTTGCCATCGATCTTAAGATGGGGCAGCTGTAACCTTCGTTTAGATGGGCGCGATCTTCAGAAGCGCGCCGGACGCTCTGGAGGGGCGTCATTGGGCTTGAATGGGGCGACTTAAGTCTCAAGCGGGACGACTTCAGTCTCAAGGGGGTGGGGCGCTAGTGGCTCTTGAGGGCGCTATTGATCTCGGATAGGGCGACTGTGATCTTGAGAAGAATGCGGGTGCTTTAGAGGGGCGCCAGTGGTTTCAGGGCGCGCCATCGATCTTGGATGGGTCGATTGGGGCAGCTGTGAACTTCAGAGGGGCGCCGGGTGCTCTAGAGGGGCGCCATCAAGCTTTAATGGGGCGACTGTTCCGTTCAGGTGGGTGCCAGCGGCTCTTCAGGGGCGCCATCGACCCCGGGGGTTCGAAATATTCTGGCATCCGGAGGGGCGCCCTTCAACATTTGGGGGCTCAGGTCGTATTTGGGGGTGCCCTGGAGAACATTTAGGTGTCCAGGCACCCCCAAAGAGATATTGAGTTCGATCCCTGCCTGCACATCACTTTTTAATTCATGTTCTCTCTGTAAAACGGCATCAGCCTAGTCGGCGCTAATTGGGGCGCCATTTGGGCGGTTGGGCGGAAAGGGGGGGCCATGGCCCCCATGGCCCACCCCCCTGTATACGCCACTGCTTAGAGCTATGTTTGCGAGTATTCTGCAAGACAAGACGGATGCATGACCTTTATGATGCGCCTGAACGTACGGCTGCACGTTAGTGTGTCGCCTGAACGTACCGGTGCACGTTAGCGTGTCTGCACAGCTCAAACATCAAAGGACTCGTAACGCCAATCAAGCAAATTCGCTGAAAGTTCGGGAAAAAACATGATACATGAACAGCACATGAGCAAGAGTTTTGTTGTACCAAACGCCCTGCACCCCGCACTTGCAAAGCAAGGACGTCCAACGAAACCGATCACATTGTTCGTTAAGCCGTGTAACAATGTTATGTTTTACATTGGTATGGAGGCTGTAGCAAGTGGAGTAGGTACCTACAACATGGGATCGGCGATCGAGCCGTCTCGCTGTAAGCGAGCGGGATGCCGCACGTTCAAACACCGAGAGTTACTTTTTTACATCTTTTAAAATGAAACTGGATATGAATCGAACGGGGCGGAATATCAGTCAAATTTTCTT